TATTTGTACTTACAGTTTCAGTGTCCTCAACTCCCATTTACAACCCACTGGGCCCTGGCTGTTGTCCTCCCTCGACCGACACTACTCACCAAAGATCTCCCAAAGAACTCTGGATGGCTTCAGGAGCTTCCCTCATTACCCTTTTCTGTATTGGTGACAGTTTGTATTAGACAGGGTTCTCTACAGAAACAAAACCAGGGCACTTATGATTTGATAGATAGATTCACCAAAATGGAATATAACAGTTAATTAGTCCACACAGCAGTACAAAGGGCTCAGTTCAACTCACTTCCATGGAACAGTTAAATATACTGGAAGTCCTTCAACTCACAAGGGCTGCTAGGACCAAGGTCAAGGAAGCAGACAGCTGAGTCTTCCCTAGATCAATCCAGGCAGTCCGGCCACAGGCAGCAAACAACAGAGCAGGTTACCAACAGTCAGCAGCTCAGGAGCTTAAGGAAGCAGGCTCAGATGAAATATCATACTCAAGCAATACAAGATGACAGGATCTGTCAGTCTCAAGCTCAAGCAATGCACACACCAGCAGCGTGATGAAGCAGGTCTCGAAGGAACCTCAAGCGCTAGCCACACAATCCACAGGTTGACTCTCCCACATGTAGTGCAGCTCACAAGTTGAGGCAGAGAACTAGCTAAGCAACAGCACGCTGGTCCCATCACCAGAGAGCAAGAGGGAATGGGGTGGGGCTTGCTGAGCCATTTATCTCTTTGCCCTCCAGTCAAACTGCAACCTTATTAATCCCACATGTTCCTATTAGCCAGGTTGGCACAATAAATCTACCTATCACACATGTGAACAATACCTTCAATTTTTTCTTGGTGTCCATGTCAAATTCTTTCATGTTTTCCTGACTCTGACAGCTCCATCCTTTTGCTGCCCACACAATCTGTCCTTTAGTGTTTACCCTACACTCTCATATGTTTAAAGGGGTCCTGAGGGTGCTGTGGGGAAGCACTGGATTGCTAACCACAAGGTCAGTAGTTCAAACCCTCCAGCCACTCCTCAGGTGAAAGATGAGGCTTTCTGCTCCCATAAAGATTTAAAACTTTGGAAACCCAACAGGGCTTGAACCCAAACTCTACTCTGTACTATTGGGTCTCTGTGAATCAGAATCGACTGGATTGCAGTGGGTTTTGGTTCACGTGTCTCAAAAAAAACCATGGTTCTTTGCTATGAGATGTGGGTTGGAATGCCGGCTATACTGAGTCCTTAGAATCTTGCCAGACCTCCATATCTCATGTGGGTAGTCATCCTAAATTCAGGCATGTTCATTGGACCTATAGTTCTCAGAGGCATCATGGATTATGTAAAAATTGGAACTCTTGGCCTGGGAATTCATCTCATACCATAAAAATGTTACTACTCAAATGCATATTCTTCAAAGTACTTATTAATTCTGTATAACTAAACAATATGAACTATGCTATAAATGTTTCTTTATGGCCTTGTTGAGGTTTCTTAGTTGAGTGAAGTTAGAATGTGGCATGCCATCTTTGTCTGGTAAGTCTCCCTGGAGTGTCTGTAGCGTTTTTTTCTTACTCCAGACATCTCTGAGCAGCACTGAAAATTGGGGTCATCTGACATATAGAAAAAAACTATTTTCTTTAAAATTATTCAGCTGAACACTACTTGAATTCTTGAAAGATACGTATTGGGAGGACAGTTTCAGTGATTTTTTTAATCTTCCATATTTCTGAAAATCTACTCTGCTGTACTCTGAGAAATCCCAACTAGGGAACTAAATTTGCATAACCTTCTAGATCAAGGGTTGGCAAACTTTTGAGATGGAAGAGCCAACCTGTCCCTCACAATTTAAAAATTATTTGAGAGCCATAAATTTATTTTCACAAACAAATGAAATCACCATTTCTGAATAATACTCTTATAAAGGTTTCCATTTTACTTAAGAGCCACACACACTTGCCGAGAGCCCTATGGCTTGAGCGCCCCAGTTTTGCCGAGCCTGCTCTAGATGCACTTACTCTACAACGTCCATCAGTGAGGCACCACAAGTTACATAAGTGCCTTCAAAACACCCAGGCTTCCCCTTCCGTTCCTAGTTCTAGGCTGCACTGACAGCATGCACAGCAGTTTCACCGTTCTCTGTGGATCCACCCTCTTTGCTTTAAGGGGCCCTTGAAATGTTCACAAGCAAATTGCCCATAAGAGGTGCAACAACAACAAAAAAGAGAGATGCAACAATTTGCTCGATGAGATACTCACAGTGAGGTGCTTTGTAGACAGAAACTGGGGAGAAAACTCATCAGATGTCAGCGTGAAACGTTACCTAACTCGGCCTTCAGGAAACGTTTTTAAAGACACAATTTCTTGATCACTAAAATAAAAATCTGAGAACAGCTCTTTAAAAGACACTTGTTCATTCGTAAAAAGAGTGTGTGCTCCTAGGTTCGTAAACTCAAAAACCCTAAACTCACTGCCATTGAGTTGATTCTAACCCAGAATCGGACAGAGTAGAATGGCCCCTATGGCTTTCTGAAACTGTACATCTTTTTTTTTAAAGGATTTACTGGCATTTAATCCATATATCATACAATTCAGGCTGTAAGTCGTTATAGGGCAGAAAGCCTTGTCTTTCTCCAACAGAGCAGCTGGTGGGTTTGAACTGTTGACCTTGTGGTTAACAGCCCAAAGTATACCCCACTATGCCTCCAGAGCTCCTCTGGGCAGAAAACTAAAGCAACAGTTGCATTCTGCAGTCACTCCAAAGACAGTATTTTCCAGCTTAACAAATTTAACTTTCCAAAATGGTAATTTTATGTTCAAATACTTTAACTTTCTGAGGAATTCTTCAATGCCTCAATACAGTATTAGCACTTGTAGCTCAGCCCCCATCCTATTGTTATTCTAGCCATGTGTTCTCATCACAAAAACCGAGTTCAGGCCCTCCTTACTCTTATTAGGTATTGCTGGGTCACTTCCAACTCATAGCAACCCTGTACACAACAGAACAAAACACTGCCTGCTCCCGCAGTGTTCGAGCCCGCTGTTGCAACCACTATAATCCATCTTCTTGTTGGTCTTCCTCTTTCCCTGACCCTCTAATTCTGGCCCTTTTTTGGGTCACCTTTGCAATTTTATTTAAATAAGCATGCTTTTACTAAAACAGTTCGTGGAAAATATATTGTAGAACAATAACCAATTTTAGACAAATTCTGTGCTCCTCTTGGGCTCCCCAGGTCTTTAGGACTTCTAATGTATCGTAATGAGGTGTTTTTTTCAAGGGTGGAGGGGTTCCTAGTCTCTCTGGTCTTATTCCAATCCCCTACTTATCTCTGAAGATGATCTACCTCCAATTTAATACTCTCAAAGGGAACACCAATAAGCTCCTATTAAACACCCCTGACTTGAACCCACTATAGCCTACTTAACTCTGCTTCTGCAAATTTGTCCCTCCTCGGATTCAAGATGAAGCCTCGACTTCAGCTTCTACTCTTACAATTCCAGTACTATCAAGTGCCCTTGCTTTTTCTGCCATCTCTGCAGTCCCTCCTTACTATTCTTACAATGACCTTGAAGCAGTCTCAGCAAAACCCTGGATTGTTTCCCTGCAGATTACTACCGTTTTCTTCCCCGAAATGTTCATTGTTCTCTTAGCCACCACTCTGCCTTACGCAATGTCTCCAACACAGCACTTACCATGTTTATTGTCATTGATTACATAAGTGCTCTTCTGTTTTATCTTAATCCTTAGCTAGCACAGACTTAGTACTGGGTTTTGTTCTACCAATGAAGGCATTCAGTTTAAGTGTGCTGGGCGGATCATGAGTTGAACTCCCATTACCAGCTTTCAGATGGCTTAAGGATTCCCTTTGAATACCAGGAATCTATTCTGAAAGTGACAAATTTACTGTAAATTTTAAGAAAAATCAAACTTTTCTTTGAAGCTAGTGCACTGAAAAAATGCAAATAGACTTGAGGTGACCATAATGAACAGGTAACCGTACTTTTTATAGTTGTCTCGTGGCTGCTGAAATGTGTGCATATTACCTGCTCCTGTATAGGCAGATTTTGAAACCTACCAGCTTCTGTATCTACTGTGTGGGTCGATATCAAATGCTGCTAAGTCAGGGTTGGGGAAATGTCCAGTCGCAGGCCATTTAAGGTCTGTAAAATAAATTCCAGCTAACACCACATACCTTTACCAGAGAATCGTTCCAGCCATCACATCAGGGGCGACTAGTTGTTTGAACAGTATGGCCTGCAAATATTATCTGGCCCTTGGAAGTAAAAAGCTTCCCCACCCCTACTCTAATTGAAGCTAACAAGCTAAAATTATCCAACTGGTTAAGAACGTCTATAGCAGTAAGACTCCAATCAAAAGCCAATGAAAACCCCCTGGTCCAAGTGACACTTGGACATCGTGTGACACTGGTTTTCTACTCCAAGCCTGTTTACTTTGGTGCCCAACTGTCAAGATACCGCAGAATTAGCAGTTACTTTCAAAGCTTCATTGCTATCTCACTCACTGCCATCAAATTGATTCCAACTCAGGGACCATCCCTATAGGATAGAGAACTGCTCCTGTGGGTTTCTAAGACTGTGAACCTTTCCAGGTGCAGAAAGCCTCACCTTTCGTGCAGAGAAGCACCTAGGAGCAGTCCAACGTTTAACCTACTACAACACCCAACTAGGTGAGAATTACATCTATTATAGTCACAATAATGTAAAGCTCTTTAGAATTACTTTGAGCACACTCCTAGTAAGTCACATGCATAAAATGCAAGGAAATGTAAAAGTATTAAATATTTACAATGGCAAATTTTAAATATCAAAGTTTGTTCAATGCCAAACCTCATGAACTAAGCCCACCATTCATACGAAGTTTCATACATATATGAAAAAAGTGCCTGCTGCTCTTAGTACTTTATACACACTATACCTTACATTTTATAAAGTGGTGAAAATGGAGATTCTATCAAGTTAAAAAATATATAGATACTACAAAGACAGACAATAGAGGTAAGCTCAGAGTGACTTTTAATATGCCAATCAATGTTAATAGGACACAAGTCAAACCGACAAGTGCAAACACGTTTTAAACCAAAAGTTAATGGGGAAACCAGCATTAAGTCAAATTCTACTTTTTCAACATCTGTTAGCCAATATTTATTAGTCAAATGGCTAATCACAGATAAAAAATATGTTTTATGAAAAACTTGGAATAGTCAGAAGTCATTCTGGCATTTCAAACAACTATATACAGTATCAGTTTATATACACAAATATTGAAGGAAAAACAAGCAAAACATTTAAAAACAGAGTAATAATACAATCAAGTACAAAACTTGGGAGGAGACGAGAGATTTTTAAAAAGAGTCAGGGAAGGACATTATAAAAAAAATTACAAAACCAATAATAATTATACTACATTAATACAGAGTTCCAAAGGGGGAGGAGGGTGTGTGTGCATTTTTCCAATGCACTAGCTTCAAAGGAAAAAAAAGGCAAATGGCTGCTTGTCGAGAGCAGCTTATATATTTCACATAATTGTTTCAAAAGAAAGCCTATTAACAACGATGATTGTTTAATGCTACAATTTTACAGCAAAGACAAAACTAAAATAGCAGCAAATTCACAAGGCATATGTCCACAGAATTACCATTCCATGGTTCATGCAATGCCTACAAAGTGCTCCCAGTTGGATAGACAAGTTCACAATCAGAAAAAGGAGAACAGAAGAAGACCGACACACAGAAGGCTGGGTAGTACTGAGTCTCTTAGCACCTCCCTTCTCTAAGGGGGTGATGTTTGCAATAAAGCCCTTGAGTCCTTTTGATGGGTCGCTAAAGGGAAAGATGTTTTATTACACTGCGACAGCAAACACTAAGTAGCACAACCACCACAGCGGTCAGCCTTGGAAAGGCTGGTGGAACATCCCACAGTGACCGACAACCTACAGAGACAGACCGCCTGCTAAGACGAGGCGAAGTGAGCCTGGTAAACCACAGCCCAAATATAGCTTCCAACTGTAATTCACACTTCAAAGTCCTAGAAGCATCTCAGTAAAACTACTGACAGCAATCAACAGTCATTGCAAACTGGCTTCTAGCAATGATTTCCACTCCACCTAGCTTCCTCTCGTCACGGTTTCTGTGGGGTGGTGGGACACGAGTAGTTCAGTATATAGTAAGGCTGACAGAGCGGTTCATTTTCTTCCCAATAAGTCGAGATGTTCTATTACTCTGGGTGGTAGACCTAGTGGCCATTCGGTCAGTGAAGAGTGCCCGTTCCTCAGCTGCAGCTTTGGCCATCTGAGCTTTCTTGAGTTCTCTGGAATATAAAAGTAGGAAACAAGACTTCTTGCTTACTGTATTAATCCTAACAAGAAATCATAAGACGATAACTAACAATATTTCCAGACAGAAGATCTTTGCCACTATTCTAAGATGCAGACGAAGTAAGGAAATTACAACAGGAAATGTCAGCTTCTGCTCAAAACTTTATGAACAAATTTATGAAAATATTTTACTTTGCATTTAGGATTAAGACCCCACATATACCTGGATACAGTGTTACAAGTAAAAGTAGCGATAGGGTCCCATTTATCCAGGAACAAAGTTCAGAGGTTTTAAGAAAGAGGAAGGAATGGATGAGGGGATTGCAATGGATGAGTTGAAACAAAATGTGTATGAATTGTTGAACGTAAAAGTGATTATCGGCTTTATGAACCTTCACTCAATTCACACGCAAATATTTACAGCATAGGAAACCCAAAAGGGCAATTCTACTCTAAACTATAGGGTTGCTATGAGTCAAGAGTCAACGAGTGAGTTGCGTTTAATCATAAAAAGTTTTTTAAACCACTGTAATCAATGTCATTGAATTTATTGTACATGTAGAAACTATTAAATTGGCCAATGTTAAGTTCTGAAATTAATAATCTATAACTTATCAAGGGTTCATGAGGGAGAGAGGGCAGAGGAGGCAGGGGGAAAAAAGAGGAGCTGATATCAAGGGCTCAAGTAGAAAGAAAACGCTTTGAAAATGATGGGAACAAATGTACAAATGTGCTTGACACAATGGATGGATGTATGGGCTGTGATAAGAAATGTAAGAGTGCCCAATAGGAACTGAAAATACAGGGAATCCAGGATGGATGAGCCCTATAGGACCAGTGGTGTGAGTGGCAAAACAGGGAGGGTAAAGGGAGAATGGGCAGGAAAGAGGGAACCGATTACATGGAACTGTGTGTGACCTCCTCCCTGGGGGACAGACAACCGAAAAGTGGATGAAGGGAGAAGTCGGACAGGGCAAGATATGACAAAATACCCATTTATAAACTATCAAGGGCTCATGTGGGAGGGGGGAGCGGGGAGGGAGGGGAAAAATGAGGACCTAATGTCGGGGGTTTAAATGGAGAGAAAATGTTTTGAGAAATGATGTACAAATACGCTTTACACAATTGATGTGTGTATGGATTGGGATAACAGTTGTATGAGCCCCTAACAAAATGTTTTTAAAAAATAAATAAATAAATAAATAAATAAATGAAGAGTCCCCAATAGAAGTATTTAATAATAAAAAATAAACTATTAAATTGATGTATGCTGTTTATTCCTAGCATCAGAAAAAATTCAAATAGATATTTAAGAGTATAAGAATATTTTACTTCTTTTTATGAACAAGGCAAATGTCGTTATTAACAACTGAACTTTTAAATATTTCTTTTTTTTAACTTTTAAATATTTCAAGATAGTTTTTCATTTGGCTAAAATCAAAATGATAGCAATCAAGCAAAGTAATTAGAAATTTGACCTGTAGTTGCTTAATGCCCGCCAATATTTTTCCCTTTTCATAAACTATGGCACTCCAAACCAGCTTCCCCTAATGTCAAAGGTCATTCAGATAAAATAAAAATAATTGTAATAATATTTAGCATCATCCTTTCATAAAACAAGTGAAATAGGATGAAAGAATAATGTTGGCTTATATACTAGTTTGGGGAGAAAGGACACTGGTGTAAGCTCAGTTAGCTTTAGCTATGATTTAGGTCCTGGGGACTATCACTACACATCATTCGTCATTTCAGAATTTACATGAAACAGAAACTAGCCAAATGCTGAGTCCTTAAATTTCCATTGCCTAACAACGCAACATGCTAGAACCACTACACCCTTTGCTGAAAGAAAACCGAAGTCTCTCAAAAAAAAAGAGAGAGAATGAGAAAGCGAAAAACAAAACCAACCCTCACTTACTTTTGTAGAAGTGAATTTTTGAACTTTTCAGCATTCAATTCTTTTCGCAATTGTTCTGCACTCTTTCTAGACGCAGACAGTAAAACTGAATGCTTTACTAGTGCAGCTGCTGACGGCCTTCTCTCTGGATCCGGATGAATCATAACCTGACAAGAAGTAAAGTTAAGGTAAAAACATGCAATTTAATCAAAGATTGGCATTTTAGTAGAACATTTCATTTATAAAAGGCTTACTTTGAGCAATTCCGTAAATTCTTGGGAAAGCACCTGCGGTACGCGGGGTAACCTCCCCTGCCGGATGTCATGCCACTGGTCTCCATTTCTGGGAAGGGGTTCAGCACCAGCAGCACAAACGACCGTGAGGGCGAGGGCAAAAATATCCGCTTTGGGTAGATGGGTGTAGTTCTGTAAGATCAAAACACCAACCAACCATTTTTCAAGACGCTATAAAAATGATCTCAAGAAAGTGAGAATTTAGATGACAAATGGGACAAAGTAAAAACATTCTAAAACCATCTATATTTAAGATGTAGTCAAAGAATCAAAAATAATACCTTAGAGGAAATTTGTATTTTAATTACTAAGTAAAATACACCCTGAAGGAAGTGAAAGCCTTGTTTCTTTTCTCACCAACCCTTTCAATTCTCAAGAGAAATGGCTATCCCTCTAGAGACATTCATATGCAAACATAAAAAACCCAGGTAAGTTTCTAATGTACATATACATAATAAAACACACAAATATACACATTAAAAGACCAATTGGGCCATACCATTTAGATTAGTTACTAGTTCCATTCTCATTGTTCCACTTTTAAAAAATACTTTTATTGGGGGCTCTTACATCTCTTATCACAATCCATACATTCCTCCAGGGTGTCAAGCATTTACACAGATGCCACCATCATCGCTTTCAAAGCATTCTCTTCCCACTTGAGCCCTTGATATCAGCTCCCCTGTTCACTTTTTTACTTAATCATTTCGTTAATAGTAAACTCTTACTTACGCTGTTCTCAACTTGTTTGAATATTTTTGTAAGGAAGAATCCTACAAGTGGAAATTGAGTCAGAAGAGTATGTAATTTTAACATGTTCATAATATACTGAAACTTTTATCTCAGAAAAGGCCCTGCCCTTTTAAATTTCCACCAGTTCTGCAGAAAAATCAACAGAATGAAACCCTAACACCGCTGAGTTTTCTAAATCTTTGCCTTTACTAACTCTTGTTAAATGCTCTCAACTTAATTGTTTAATTTCTACTTTATATTACAATTCTACTTATCATTAACTTGAAATTGTAATATATCTGAATTGATATTCTTTTATCAAATGGTGTATCAAGCAAATCCTCGTATTAAAAAAGAGAAAAATTACCTCCTGCAAAACTTCATTTGCAAGAAAACGACTATCACCCTCTTCCACTTGCGGACTAGCTATCCTTGTCACGTGTCCAAGATCACCTAAAAATGTTAAAAACATAACATTTGGCAGCGTTAAAAGCAAAAACACCTTCTTTTTCATTGTAAGAAATGACAAGTTGCCTTTCTTACCTATTTTAAACATAATCTTGTTGGCCGCCCAGTCATCTTCATCCCCTTCTTCAGAGGCAGCATTTGGAATTGAGGTGCGAGATATGAAGATATTACCTGTTGAACAGTCAAATATGTAAGTCACACTAACCATTAACAGTAGAAGCAGAGTTCACCAAAAAAACCATACCTGAATCACTTGCGAAGCTTTTATTTTTTTTATTTTTTTATTTTATTTTTTTTAACATTTTATTAGGGGCTCATACAACTGTTATCCCAATCCATACACACATCAATTGTGTAAAGCGCATTTGTACATCGTTTCTCAAAACATTTTCTCTCCATTTAAACCCCCGACATTAGGTCATTTTTCCCCCTCCCTCCCCGCGCCCCCCTCCCGCATGAGCCCTTGATAGTTTACAAATGGGTATTTTGTCATATCTTGCCCTGTCCGACTTCTCCCTTCATCCACTTTTCGGTTGTCCGTCCCCCAGGGAGGAGGCCACACACAGTTCCATGCAATTGGTTCCCTCTTTCCTACCCACTCTCCCTCCACCCTCCGTTTTGCCACTCACACCACTGGTCCTATAGGGCTCATCCATCCTGGATTCCCTGTATTTTCAGTTCCTATCTGTACCAGTGTACCTCCTCTGGTCTAGCCAGTCTTGCAAGATAGAATTCGAGTCATGGTAGTGGGAGCGGGGAGGAAACCTTTAGGAACTAGAGGAAGGTTGTATTTCTCATCATTGTTACATCGCACCCTGACTGGCTCATCTCCTCCCCGAGACCCCTCTGCAAGGGGATCTCCAGTGGCCTACTAATGGGCTTTGGATCTCCACTCCACACTCCCCCCATCATTCACTATGGTAAGATTTTTTGTTCTGATGATGCCTTACACCTGATCCCTTCGACACCTCGTGGTTGCATAGGCTGGTGTGCTTCTTCCATGTGGGCTTTGTTGCTTCTGAGCTTGATGGCCGCTTGATTACCTTCAAGCCTTTAAGACCCCAGACGCTATACTTTTTGATAGCCGGGCACCATCAGCTTTCTTCACCACATTTGCTTATGCACCCGCGAAGCTTTTAAAAATGTAAGTTTAAAAGAAAAATCCATTATCTGGAAACTGTGGTAGCAAATGTATAATTCTGCTTGATGTGACTGAGATATAGATATAGATATATATAAACTCCCAATTAATATGTAATTTTTAAAACCAAAAAGGAAAAAAAAAGGTTTAAGTTCTCCTACCTGCAGATATTTCCTAGAGCAGCTCTGATCCCTGAACATTTAGATTTACAACGCACTGAGTGAGACCCTGTTTCCAAACTGATCTTCAGCATTTAATTACTTATGAACAATACGGAAGTCACAAATCTTAATAATTTGTGATGTTGCTAAAATACAATTTTTAATCTTATCTTGCAAGTTTGATAATAGTGAAAAAGTAGTCATCTAACTAGTGAGTTCAACTGGCCATGTACATTGACATCCAGAGATGGCTGTCTGCTTATTACACATAATTTCATCTTTTTCTCCCAAACCCAAGCAAGCTCATGATTTAACAGTTTTCATGCCAGATTTCCTGTCAATAGTTTTAACAATACAGTACTAATGATACAAATGTTCTATTTATGGAAGTTCTGGTCCTAGTGATACTTTATTCACTGGCCCATGGATCTTATGGTGACATTTGTCAGTTTAAGATTTGAAAATTAATTTATCTCCTAAGTTTTTCAAATTTTGAACAGGCAGTTCCCAAGCTACAATCATCCAACTTATTAACAACTCATACTTGGCCTCAGGTAAATATGCCCCCATTTTAAAAAGGAATGACTGAACCACACCTGCTAGCAACCAATTTTTCATTACAATGGTCTTCACTTGCTGCACAGGCAATTTTTAAATGATTTAAAAGGCTTTGAGCCTTTTCTTACATAAAAAGGCATCTGTTCTGACTTACCTACACATGCAGCTTAGAGACACACTTAGAAACATCTCATTCACAATCTGGGCACTGCCTGTACCTTACATGTAAAATGTTACGATCCGTGACTGGCATTTTTAATACAAATAAGAGCGCATGTATTCACATTTATCACTATTAGTTCAAATAGTCTTTTCCTTTTTAAAACTGTAAACCTCAGTTAATATATGGATAAATTCTTCATTGGATTAAGACAAATTGAGTAAAATGATTTAATTTCTATGAATCAACATTTTTATTAAAAACACTGATTAACTTCAACTTACAAATGTCGGGCCTAAATTTCTGTTTCTAGGAAAACTCAGTAGGAAAGGAACAAAGCTAAATGACAGCACAAGGCAGCGAGCAGTGAAAGCCAGAAGCCAGGACATTGTGTAAGACAAGTCTCGTTTTTAGAGCGCAGGGAAGGGTGACTATGTACTGAAATGGAAAAGTAGGGAGAGCTGAATAAAATAAACTGGGTAGTAAAATAGCAACGTACATTGCTAATTTAATAAAATGAGAAAGATTTGCAGTAAGATATTAATGCAAGAATTCATTTGCACCCTTTTAAAAATGCGGTTACAAGGGGACAAACAACCGAAACATGTTGAAGGGAGACAGTGGATGCTATAAGACGTGAAAATAATAATGATTTATAATCCACAAAGGGTTCATGAGGATGGGGAGGGTGGGGAGAAAAAAATGAGGAGCTGATACCAAAGGGTTCAAAGTAGAAGAAAATGTTTTGAAAAGGATGTTGGCTACTAATGTACAACTGTGCTTGACACAATGGAGGTATGGGATTGTTATAAGAGCACCCTGCAAAATGACTTTTAAATGCAGTTATAGTCATAATGCATGTGACTTTTTGTGTACTACAGTAACTAACTTTCTTTACTAACTTTTATGGGCTGGAAATACCACTGTGTTTGCACAAGATTTAATTTCCCAAGTATGCTGCGCCTCTGGTAGATCTAGTGAGTCTGTCAGCAGTTTCACAGCAGAGTGGGTTTTCTGCTTCTTCAGATCTGGCCTGTCACTGTTTCAGCACTTACTGTTTGCTTCCACTCAGCCTCTGCGTTGGCAGCACCACTGCCCCTTCATCTCCCAAGCTTTGAATACATTTTAAGAATAGACCAAGGTTTTCCTGAGCCAGAGCATACTGTCTACGAAAGCTACTTAGTTATACATAGATATCAACCATTAGCCATTTTTAGCTAAAAAATGATATAATAGTAAATTAAGACTACTACATGTCTATGCCTTCCAGTCTTAATTCACTTCCAGTCTTTTTTATGCAATTGTCATAGTACATGCACCATTTCATTTTCTGAGTCATGTAACATTTCTGTATTTCTTGTACAGACTGAAACAGTATCACATTTGTATAGCACTGTGGTGACACTGTGAGTTAGGCATTGGGCTGCTAACAGCAAGGTCCTGAATGACAAATACAGGAGCTGCTCCAAGGAAAAAAGATGACGCTGGCCACTCCTGTGAGGACGTCGACTCTCAGAAGCCTGATCTCAAGTCTCTCAGAGTCAGAAGGAAACAAGATGACACCAGCTACTCCGTGAAGATGTCCACTCTCAGAAGCCTGATCTCAAGTCTGAGAGTCAGAATCAACCCAATGGCAGTGGATGTGGTTTTGGGTTACTTCCGAAACATTTTCACTGCTCTCATCTTACGGCAGTGATCATTAGTGACACCAGCATTAACTATGGTTCAGTAGCCACGTGGAAAGATGCTCAGTATCCAGCTGAGTCCCACTTTGAGACTGTGCATGCAATAATTTTTTCCCCAACTTTTAATAAAAATTAACATTCCAGGGCTTAAGTAGAAGGCAAATGTTTTGATAATGATGATGGAAACAAATGTACAAATGTGCTTGACACAATGGATGGATGTCTGGATTGTGATAAGAATTGTACGAGCCCCCAATAAAGTGATCTTTAAAAATAAATAAATAAATAGATAACTAGATAAATAAAAAACACGAAAAATTAACAATCCAAATCATTTGGGGGAAGAGGCAAATAGAGATCACAAAATGTTAACAACAAATGAGTCATTCGCCTAACAATAAACCTAACAAAAAACCAACTCACAGCAACCCTGGAGAACGAGGCAGAACTGCCCCTGTGGTTCCCGAGAGTGTAATTCTTTCTAGGAGCAGAAAGCCTCATCTTTCTTCCGGTAGGGTTAGCAGCCCAACATGTAAAACACTATGCCACTACAGACTGTATACATGTAAAATGTAAAAAAAGGAACTTATTTTCTGGAACTTAAAAAGAAAACCTGTTAGAAGATCTGCGATACTTACTGGGTTTAATGTCCATATGAACCAAAGACATCGAATGAATATACTTCAAGCCTCTGCCAACTTGCAACAGGAGATCCTTTAACTCTGCTTCTTTGAAGTAACTCATGCGTCTGTAGTTTTCACTTATGGCATCAGCCAGGCTTCCACCTTACAAAGACAGAATAAGTTAGATATCGTCTTTCTTAAGTGTTTTTTCTTTCTCATCCCTTCAGTGAATGACCATAAAGTCAACCAAGAAAGCTATTCCTAAAACCATCTCCCTTCAACCTGCTTGTCAAACAAAAATTACATTTATCCTTTCAGTGGGTAACAAACAACATGGTACGAGATACAATTTAGTCTTTCATTCTTTTTTTTAGATCAATTTATTGGGGCTCATATAATTCATCACAATACATAGATCAATTGTGTAAAGCACATCTATACATCTGTTGCCCTCATAATTCCCAAAATTCGCTTTCCTCTTGGGTTCCCAGAATCAGCTCATTTTCCTTTTCCCTCCTCCTCCTCCTCCTCCATTCACCCTCCCCCATGCACCCTTGATAATTTATAAATTATTATTATATCTTACATTACACTGCCCGGCGTCTCCCTTCACCCACCCCTCTGCTGCCCGTCCCCCAGAGAGGAGGTTATATGTAGCTCCCTGTGATCAATGTCCCCTTTCTACACACCCCCCTTCCCTCCTGGTATCGCCACTGTCACCCCTGGTCCTGAGGTTCATCTGTCCTAGATTCCCTGCGTTTCCAATTAAGTCTTTCATTCTTGTACCTCCTGTAGCCCACCTGGTTCTCTCTCCCACAGCAAGCCTATGTTGTCAGCGCCTTACATATCTATTCACCTCTTTCCCCAAGTGAGAGCTATTTTCATTATCTTATAGCTCTTCTATAGCAATATGCAAAGAACTACATTTTCTTTTATCTCCATGGAAGACCACGATATAATTGAATGATAATTAACCAATCCCTTAGAGTTGGAGATTTTAAAATTATTTCTAATAAATAAGCCTATGCATCAGTCTTTTCATAGGTATTACTATCTGTTAGAAATGTTATTACTGGATAAAGGGTCACATGTACTGATTTATACTTTCATCATCAATGTATGATAACGTTTCCCCACAACCTTTACACAAAAGTCTATACCAGTGGTTCTCAACCTTCCTAATGCTGCCACCCCTTCATATAGTTCCTCATGCTGTGGTGATCCCCCAACCATAAAATTATTTTTGTTGCTATTCATAACTGTAATTTTGCTACTGTTACGAAACATGTAAATATCTGATTGGAAGGATGTATTTTCATTGTTACAAATTGAACATAAGGCATCGTGATTAATCACAAAAAACAATACGTAATTATAGCATGGGTAAGAATCTTCACGCCAGGTACTCGTATGTGGGCGTATCTGCATGTGGGCGGACCCACCTGGAGACAGAGGGTTGAGACGTGCTGGTCTCTACAGGTAAAGAGTACCCTTACAGTTTTTTTTATACTATTCTCAGAACAAAAGAAAATATCAACCTGCTTTTATAGAAATAACCAAACCAATCAGCTAATCTGCTTATAGTTAAAAAAACTTTATAAATCTCTATACCAAGGGGTTAGGGAGGAAGCTTTATAATAGATAGTTGGTATGTTATCTCAAAAGAACACTTTCGGCTTAAAGTTTAGGAATTTAAAAAACCAGAGCCAGCAGGGTAATAAAATCAACAGAAGAGGTCTTACAATTTGAGCAAAAATGACTATCAAAAATGTCAAATGTATTTAAAAATAAAAACACATACCTAGGTTTATTAAGCATAATTATGCTCTCCCTATACAACTTAAATAAATCTTCAACTGGGAGAAAAAGAGGATGACCGATGGGAGATAATGCTTCCCCAATCTCCCTGCTCAGCGGGCCCAGCCGCTCTGGCCCAATCAGCTCCTTGCAGAGTGGCAGGCAGGACGGGAGGAGTGAGAAGAGCCCAGCGCTTATCTGGCATCTCAGATTCCCGTCCCCTTTCCCGATTTCATTTTTTTCTACACTTCTTTTTTAGGGTAGAAATTACATTTTTCACCAAGTTTCAAAGGCTTAAAATACTTGTTTGAAATACAAAAGACATTTAGTCACAGTAAGATAAAACCAGTTAACCAAAAAGGGCTGAAGACAAGGCCTCCTCGGGGGCATCATTCGGAGTGTGAACCATACTAGGGGACACTGTCAGAGGGGCGATATGAAAATATCCAATACCTACACTCCTTATTTATTCACAAGCTAGGTGTAGGCTCACTCTGAGTCGGAATCAACTCAACAGCAGCGGGTGTGGATTGGGTTTGAGTTGCTTTTGTTTATCTAAGGAAAAAAGGAGAATCAACAAAATCACATCTTTCCTGTCTCAACTGTCCATTATATTCTAATTTCCCAGAGGAGACACAGTAGTGATAATCCATTATACATAAAACAAAGATTTATACACTGTATATACTCGTGTATAAGCTGAGTTTTCCAGTACATTTTTAAATGCAGTTTTTGTGGTACAGTTAAGTGCCTCGGCTGATATTCGGGTCGGCGGATATTCGAGTAAATACGGTATATAGAGATCAGACCTCTAAAAGCATCGAATTCAGACAAGAATTTTGGTAAAGGTTTCACAAGCAGAGAGAGATATCTAGTTGACCATAAAAGCTGGTTGAAATTGAACCTACACATTCTTTTGCATTTTGTCCCTTTTGTTTTGATTGGTTAATTGATGGATTGAGGGGAGAGAACCACCACTAGTGAATGCACTACTTCGTGGATTCTAATGGTAAACTAGGTTGGGCAGACTGGGATGCCTGGAATGACTGGTTGAATTTAGCAGTAGAAAGGGCCACTGCCGTTTTATGAGTAATCAACATCTGTATCAGCAATGCACAAAATAGAATGGGAAAAGGTTAGGGGCAGGAGGAATTCATCGAAAACATCTTAACAATTGTGTGCTCCCCACAACACTGTGAGGTGCTAAAACCCAAACCCACTGCCATGGAGTTGATTTCGATAGCTGCCCTTTGGGGCTTCTGAGACTGCACAACTTTATGGGAGCAAAAAGCCTCATCTTTCTCCCTTGGAGCAGCTGGTGGTTTCGAACTGCTGACCTTGTAGTTAGCAGCCCAAACATGTAACCCACTACACTACAGGACTCCTTACATGAGGTGATAAAAGTACACCAAATTATATACAGCAAAGCTCACGTTGTCTCAAAAAGTCTAGTTTACAGACACCTAAGTAATATGCACAGTACTACTGAGGGGTGTGCATGTACAAAGTGCTTCAGGAGACAGGATTTTCCATTTTTAATCATACAGGTCGGCACGGTTTGTACTTGAAATCACCTTAGGCCTCTGATGCTTGCATTTACAATATAAAAACTAAAGCCATTAAATGATGATCAACATTTCCTCGGCATTTATCTTCTCAAATGTACAAGTTTAGAGAACATTTCTTTCTTTCCATGACTTACCATTACAATATTCATTCTGTATAAGCATATGGTCATCCTCTGCCCAGGCAGAAAAATACCGCACTACATGAAAATGCTGGCCAAGCACTGCATGAGCATATACTTCTCTCAAAGCATTCTGCCTGGTGGAAATGAGATTGACACAATGGTTATGTCCTGTTTAACCCTCAACCGCATGCATCTGAAACACTGTATGATAAATTTAACTTCTACATCTACATAGTTGACATTTAGCAAGTTGAAGAACAACTTGCTAAAGTTACAGGTTGCAGGAGGGGACACTCAAACGGAGATTTCTGTAAAGATTTCCATGATAGGAAAACATTGAAAGCAAGAATCTTGTTGTCTCTAAACTCAAGATTAAGATAAATTCCATTTTATTATACTCATGGATGCTGATTAGAAACACAAATTTTTAAGTAGGCCCCCCAAATCAGATTATTCATATTTTACCCAGTCTACTAAGAACCACTAATGTAAAATAGAAACGTGAGTGAAGGGGGGCAGAAGACAGTTTAAGATAGGAAAATAATATTAATTTATAATTTATCAAGGGGTCATGAGGGTAGGAGGGTGGGGAGGGAGGGAAAAATGTGGAGCTGACACCAAGGGCTCAAGTAGAAAGAAAATGTTTCAAAAATGATGATGGCAACATATGTACAAATGTGCTCAACACAACTGATGTATGGATTGTTTTAAGAGCTGTAAGAGCCCACAATAAAATGATAAAAAATTTTTAAAAAGATTAAGAGGATAACATTCAGTATTGGAGCACCTACAGCTTTCATGTCTAGAACACCAAAAGGGATCAACACTGTAATACGTACTCGTCGACAGAGCCAGCCAATGGCTTTTTGGACCGCTTAATGGCATAAATGCACCCATCCAATCTCTTCACACACTTGAACACTGAGCCAAATTCTCCAGAGCCAATTTTCTCTAGCTCATGAAATTCTGTTGTATACCGTGACTTCATGTTGCTTTCAGTAATCGTAATTCTCTGTAATAAAAAGTACATCCATGTGCACAATGCAAAGACATAATTTTCTTGCTGTTTGATAGGTCTGTGTGTGAAATTTAAAAACCACTCTTCCTTGTGTTTATACTTAATGCTTTTAATATGGTAAACTTGTTAAGGGGTAAAAAATCCAAGTTTCGAAAATATAAGGGGGGGGGGGCGCGCGCCGTGGGGAAGCTAGCTATTTACTTTGGCAGGTCTTGTTTCATCTTCCAACTCATAATCACTGGCTTCCATGTCTTCACCACAGGAACTGGGGAGGGAAAATATTGCTCCATCAATGTCTGACATGCATATCAAGTAGAGAAACAAAACTTTTATCTGATATACAGCAAAACGGACTGTCAATGATAAAAACAGAAAAGCACTGTTACTTATGCAATCACAAGACTAAGCCCAGATGAGGAAAACACCACTGCTGCAATCAGTCACTGACCAGAGGCAGTCATTGCTAACAGCATCTCCCCCCACCCCCACCTTCTAGGCATAGTCTCCCGGCCTGGGCTCATTTTCAAACAGCAGATTCCCTGCAAGCTGTGGACTTTTTATTCCTTCTTTTCCATAGCTGACTACTTCCCTCACCCAGCTCTTAAAAGTTAGTGCTAGCAGCTGACACCATTTCAGAGTGCAAACTTCCATGCCATTCAAACAAAACTAAATTTTGAGAAGCCTAAGAAGCCAATTGTGAGTGGCTGGGGGAACCAAACTGTGGGATAGTAAGAAATGACTTACTCATTCCAATACGTTCTCTTTCTTCGACGACACTGTCCTGAGGAATGAAGCAGCAGAGAGTCCGGAGTAAAAGGATTGATATTTACTTGAGGCGTCTGTCGCATGTCAAATTCCCTTTTTCCTGATCTTTCTGAACTCATGAATAGCGATCCACCCCGGAGTTTACCAAAGCTCGGATCGATTCCTCGAGACTTGGAAAGCAAACTCTACGGAAGGGGGAGGGGTGGGGGGAAAGGAATTTTTAGGCTTTGTGGTCAGCCTTCTCAAGCTCACATTCAACAAGCCTTTCCACCTGGCTGACTGTGGGTCAAAACACAACACACAAGCTTTTGTTGTTATCTCAAGCAAAATAAACAACGGCTAAGTGTCCTGAAGTTTGATGCGAACCAACTGGACAAGTAAAACGGGTTTCCACCCCAAATACTATGCAAACTGAAATTCTTTATGGTGGCTAGCAGTTAACAAGGAAACCCTTTCAATACAACTAAAAATAGGGAACAGTCGGCCGGCATGCCCCGCCCCTTCCATCTCAATAGGGCTTTGAAAGCCACCTCCACTGTCCGCTGGGCTCCTCCATTCCTTCACTTCCAGTGGGTTTTGCCAAGGGCATGTCAGTCAAGTCAGCTCAGAAGCAAGCTATCCCGGAAGTTTGTGAATAAGGGAACCTCAGCTCTTGTCTTTATCTGGGGCAGTGTCCATTTTAAGACAGGATACTTCTTGTAGATGTGGGCCTGCCACTCGACAAATACGTGCTTAACACCTCTCCTCCAAGACCCACCAGCAGCAGACTAAAAGCCTAGGGGTCCAAGCAACAGTGCGTTCTTGGGGGGGGCGCTTGGATGACGGGCTAAATGATTACCCTTGGGGCGACCAAACTTGGGCCCTACACCCAAGGGATCCACAAACGCTTACCCAATACTAGTCCAGAGAAGCTTAAATGCTACTGTGAGTTATTCATGAGGCTTTAGGGCTGTTAAGTGCTTGGAAGATCGGCCTTTTCTTTCAAGGAGCAAAACTGTCCCCTGTATCACCATATGACATTAAACGATAAGCCGGGGTTAAGATTAAAAAAAATTTTTTTTAACCGAATTCCTTTTGCGTGCGCCGCCCAAATTACAGGGCCGACCACAGCGTTGAAAAGGAACCATATGGCTGCGGCGCCGGGGTTGTCAGGTGGCCAGGCCAGCACCACCCCGGCGGCATCCTCCCCAACCCGGTTCTGGGTGACACCCCCGGGGCGGCCCCGACTCCGCGGGCGCCAAAGGGCCGGCCACCTGGCCGGCGCCGAGCAGCCCCTAGGAGAGAAGAAGTTCCAGCCGAGGCGCACGGTTCAGTTACATAATCTTAACGGCCAACTCCTGGGCAGGGCCCAAGAGAGGGGCTGCCAACTTTGTGCTGCGGCAGGAAGGCGAGCGGGGGCGCGGCCGGGCGGTTATGTAACCGAACCCGGGCGGCGGGGGCCCCCTCGGCGCCGCGGCCTGTTTAAAAGGCTCGGCGGGCGCGGGCCCGGGGCGCCCCGGCCCGGCGTCCTCACCTTGGGGGTGTGCGGCGTGTCGAAGAGCCGCAGCTTGCGGAAGGTCTTGTGCGGCGGCGTGCCCGGGTGGTCGGGCAGCGGCGAACAGGGGCCCTCGCCGGCCCGGGGCGGCCCGCAGCCCCGCGGGAGCGAGTCCCCGGGGCCGCCGCAGAGCACGGGCGAGAAGGAGCTGCCCAGGAAGTAGGCGGACGGCGGCGACTTGACGGGCGACGAGGAGCCGAAGCCCTCCTCCTCCCACGAGTCGCCCTCGGCCGCGCCGCCCGCCCCGCCGGCGCCCGGGCAGGCGCCCCGCAGCAGCATGTCCTCCTCCAGCTCCCCGGGGCTGCCGGGGGCCAGGCCGGGCGAGCGGCGGCACTCGGGCCCCGGCTCCGTGGGGCTCCGGGCGGGCGGCAGCGGCGAGTCGGGCTCCTGGAAGGCCGAGTCCTCCCCGGTGCTGTGGCCGCTGCCCTCCTCCTCCTCCTCTTCCTCCTCCTCCTCACAGTCGCTGCAGGGGGAGAAGATGAGCTTCTGCCGCAAGGTGCACGAGACGCCGGCGCGGCCGGGCGGCGGAGGCTGCTGCCGGCTCAGGAAGCTCATGGCCGTCCTGGGGCCGGGGCTGCGCGGCCGAGCGCGGCTGCCCACCGAGAGCCGGACACGGGCTGGAGCAGGGGGCGGGTCTGCCACGTGCGGCTGGGCGCGCCCGGTCTCCGCGGCTGCAGGCCGGCACCGCGCCCGGCGGTGGCTCCGAGGCGCTCCGGGCTGCGGGCTGCGGGCGGCAGCGGTCCGGGCGGCGGCGGCGCGGAGCGTCCAGCAGAGGCGGGGCGGCCCGGGCGGCGAGGCCGGGGTCTCCGCAGGTCTGGTCTCAGGTTCGGGCACCGCGGCTTCCCGCGACCGTTAATCACGTGAGCGCACAGCCCACCAATCCCCGCCCAGCTCCGGGTTTGAAAAAAAAGGAGGGCGCGACGTAGCCGCGAGGGCGGGACTAGCTACGCGATTTTGGCGCGAACTTGTTGGCCCCGCCTCCCGCGGGGCGAGGCCCCGGGCTGGCGGGGCGTTGCGGACCTAAGGGAGAACTGGGTGGTCGGGGGGGTGGGGGGGACCGGGGCCGCCGGGACTGGGTCCGGCGAAACAGCGGGAGCACCCTTACAGAAGGGGTGAAGAGAGCCATGTTCGCTCGTGCCCAAACCGAGCGGCTTCCTCGTTGCTCCGCCGGGACTTGGGGCGTCTCCAAGCCCCTGCAGCCTGGGACGAGGCCGAGCGGGGTGCTGCCGTGCGCCGGGCCCTGCCCCTGGGAGACCAGCGGGAGGATGGAGACCCTAAGCACGGGCCGCAGGGGCGTCGTGGGCGTGGCCACGGACAGCCCTCTGGAGGCCGGAGGATGAGTCAGGCCCGGGACTGTCCCCGACCGTGAGACCAAACATGGACATGTACTAGAGCGAGGACACGCCTGGGCACCGGCCAGCGGATGGGTGCACTCGCCCCGGCTGACGTCCCTGGGCGGCCCACCGCAGACAGGTCCACAGTAAACAGCACCACCCTCGGCCTGGACTCAAAGCCAAGTGCCCACCACGCGACCACGGTGTTTGTATTTGTTTGCCAGCACGTGGGCAAGCGTTGGCAAAACCGATTGGCACAGCTCACTAAATTTAAATGCAACGTGAGAAAAGAAGCCCCCCCCCCCCCAGCATTCTGTAGAACCACGTTCTGTCTAATCAATCCCTACTGTGGGAGTTTTTTTCCCATTGTAATTACACCAGGGCAAACATTATCCTGCAGGTTTTCCCCATGTTGTGGTTTTGGGGTTGTTTTTCTTCCCTCTTCTCCTTAGGATAAATTCCTAAAAGTGGCATTTGGCCAAGGGACTGTAAATGAACTGTAAACTCTCCATGAGTGGGTGGGGGAAAAGAAAAATGTCTGACCGGCAGTGGATTGGATTATGTTCTTGTTAAGTTCTGGACATGGGTGTTTTGTTTTTAATGTTTATTAATGTAGTATTTGTATTTATGGGCTTTAATGGACATACCTTTATTTCTATTATCTCTAATTGTAGCGCTTTTATGGATATTAACTTTATCTACCACCAGTCAGAAACTTGATGTTTTTTTGTTTTTTGTTCTTAAAGGGAAAGACATTAACAGATGACTCAGTGATCCAAATGTCTTATTTCCTAACGGGTGTAAAACTGTGTCCTTTTTGTACATTATTCCAAGTTTCATTCGTAGCTCTTGGAAGACAAGAACTCTGCGCTTTTGCTCATTTTAACGAAAGACTGATGTTGGCTCTTTCTTAAAAACCAAGGAGGGGGAGGGGGGAGGGAAGGGGAAAATGAGCAAATGATACTGAGGGCTAAAGTAGATGGCAAATGTTTTGAGATTGATGAGGGTAAAAGGTGTACATAGGTGCTTGACTCAATGGATGTATGTATGGACTGTGATAAGAAATGTACAAGCCCTCAATAAAATAATTTTAAAAAAAATAAACAATGGGAAGAAAAAAAAACAAGGAGAGGATTTAGCACTTGCCCTCTGAGCCCCTCCTCTGGCTGTCACCCTGAGTCTTTGATATGAACATTTGTCATTTTCTCAATTTCATGTGAAGTGTAAATAAAAATAACTGTGGCAAACTTTTGTCTTGGTCTGTATCATGAGTTGTATGTAAAAAGTGTGCTTCTTAAGTGCACCCCAACTTCAAGGACCCTCAGGCACCTCTCCCCCAGGAGATTGCCGCCCTGGGGGACTCCTGAAGCCTCTGTTTACTGCCTGGCAACCTCACATTGTCCCCCACCCCCACCCCTTTTCACACCACCTGCTTTATTTCCTTCCCGGGCTTGGACTGAGTATGTAGTTTATTACTACCCCCTTCTAGGAAAGGAGGCCCTGCGGGGAGAGAGCATTCTGGCTTGTTTATTGGGGGTTATGACAGTGTTTTAGGTGTCCAATGACTGTTCAATGACAAATAGGTCCTCGTTTAAATAGCTGCCAATTTGTTTGCTTCCTAAATTGACACATTTGCAGATAAGTCCCCACCTGCTTGAGATTTTGAACGGAAGATTACCATTCCCTGCATCGGAAGTTGGTAGAAGTTAGCGATGGCCATCGTTTCTATCACTTCCCTCCACGGTCTAGTTAAAGATTACCCTTTGCTCTCAAACGCTCTAAATTCAAATAGGCCCAGAGTGTCCCATTTACCCTTTCAATCTCCTGCCCAATCCACATTCCCTTCTCCTGAGGTAAACCCTCTCGACTGGTTTTCTTTGTTTGTTTTTGTTTGAGTTGAACTTTTACTCAGCCACCTGTCTGCTTCCCTGAACTGGAAACTCCTTGAGGTCAGTGTGAGAGCAAGGAGGCCTGGGTTCTGGGAGGGAAGGGAAGAGGCTCCGGTCCACAGCCCCAGAATGTTAAGTTCTCCCTGGCAAACGGGCCTCACACAGAACCCACGGAAGGGGGGAGGGAAAGAAGGAATAAAAGGCCCAAAGCAAGTCTCAGCATCACAGCAACTTCCTTCATGAAACAGGTCCTTGGTTTTCTCCACTTCCAGGTAAAATCAACACTCCCGCCCTGCCCCTCCCAGCAGTCCCTAACACCTTTCTGAACTGGCTTGTCTAGCTTTTCTCCCACCCAGAGTTGCACCCAACAACTTTAGCGCCTTGTACCGTGCCCTGGCCCCAGAGACGATGCTTAATATTTCTAGACAGTGAAAATCTAGTGAGCTTTCCAACAAGCTGAGGAAGACACTCAAGGCCCTGCCTCCTCCAGCTGCAAAGAAGACAGCACACAATGTTAGGGTGTGAGGTCAGCAGCGACCCCATTGAAACTTTCCAGCGAGTGTTCTGGTTTTTAAAAGTCAGGCTCCTCCAGTACAGGACACACTGTACTGAGAAGATGGGTCACACCCACCAGCCCCGGGACATCTCATTCAAATTCCCAGTTCCTTTTCCCCACCCACTGCTGTTTCTAACGGCAAGGTTGCTAAGCAACTTTTACAGAGCCAACACACGTTCACGTTATCATACTGAGGGAAAAATCCGGTGGCCACTCGTTGGAGAACAAACTAAAACCCGTGCATCCCCTTTAGCCAATAGCTTATAAGTAAGAGACTTTTTCTTAACCACAGTTGTCTCATCATTCACCTACCTTAGCCACAAGATAATTAAGGCCCTGGCCTGAAGGTTTATAATTATGATTCCTATGAGCCACCCTTGAAAATATGTTAAATAGACAGCACATGAGCACACGTGAGCACTCTGATGAGCAGGAGCCTTGCGCTTTTGGAGGAAGGATCAAGGCACTCATTTCCCCGTGATGTCCACAGGAATCTTTCTTGGGCTCTCCAGAGCGCAACCCAAAGCTGAATTTTCTAACTCATGCTTTTCTTCCTGGAGAAATCGTCATTTTTCTCTAAATAAGAACCCACTCTGATAGCTTTCTAATTAGAAGGAGAAGAAAGCCGCCAGGGTCAGATCTGCTTTCCACTGTAAAACCAAATATGCTAAAAAATACTTTTTTTTTTTTTAGTGCAACTAGGTTGTTTGGTTGTTGTTGTTTTTCTCATCTGCATTGATACCTTTCCCTCTGCTTGGTCTCCCAGCAAACCTCCTCTCGCTGCAACCCAGTTCTAACTGTTACCAACTGCCGGTTGGCTCTGGGAATCCAGATCTCAGACTAGAATGTGGTGTAGACTCGATTTCTCGACGACTCTGTCCCTTCAGACCCACTGGTGGCTCTGGTCATTTGGCAGTTTCACCCCATGTTTATCAGATGATGCTGGGAGAATGGTATAATTCAATCCAATTCTTCCCTCGTGGTTCTGTGGTTTAAATGTGAGCCAACTATTATCCAGGCAAATGAAAGACACCAAAAACCAGACTCACTGCCATCTAGTCTTCCGCCGCACACAGACCCTATAGGACCAGGGCAGAACTGCCCCTGTGGTTCTCGGAGACGGAAACTCTTTCAGGGCGTAGAAGACCGCACCTTTCTCCCATGGTGCAATCTGCTGACCTGGCAGTTACAGCTCCGCAGGTAACCAACGATGCCACAGGGCTCCTTGATCCCTGGCATTGTGTTCAATACATGTACTAAGTGTGCTTTCAGGAATGGCGATGATGTTTGAGAGGAATCCACATTTGTGAATGGCTTCACAGCCAGTATATGAACTTTGGACTCCTGATGCCCGGCCCCCCCCCCCCACACACACACACACAAGTAAGTAAGCTTCCTATGGTTTTGTGCCCAATCAGCTAGGGTCATCTGATTGGAGCCAAGGAAGTACCAAGTGGAATAAGAACTTGAGAAGGGTGAGTTCGTGTGTTTTTATAACTCACTGCCATTGAATAACTCTAACTCATGGCCACGCTGTAGGACAGTATAGAACTAACTGCCCCTGTCCGTTTCCAAAGACAGTCATTCTTCACGGGAGTGAAAAACTTCAACTTTCCCCCAGTGGAGGAGACTACTAACATATCATTTCCTGCTGACTCTTACAAGGAGCCCCGGTGGGGCGGTGGACTAGTAAAGGCAAGGTCGGCAGTTCAAATTCAGCAGGGGCTCTGAGGGAGAAAGATAAGGCTGTCTGCTCCCCCCCAAAATGTTGACAGTCTGGGAAGAGCA